GCCTGGCTATTTTTTGGTTGCAGGCATTATTGTTTGGCGGGCCCAGGCTGGATTCAAACCCACCACCTTAGGTGTATGTGGCTGGCGCCTTAGCCGCTTGAGCCACAGGCACCGAGGCAGGATAGATTTCTTTAAGGTATGTTACAAATAATTCATTCTTGACCTCTACTACACAGTCACTCACAGAGTATAGTACTATAAATAAAATACTGCATTGTTTTTTCTTTCTTTAGGCTGTGACTAGAACCCAATGCCATTGCTGTGGGTTTTTTTTTTTAAAAAGTATTGGGCAGCGCCTGTGGCTCAGTGGGTGGGGTGTCAGCCGCATATGCTGAGGGTGGCGGGTTCAGACCCGGCCCTGGCCAAACTGCAACAAAAAAATAGCAAGGCACCTGTAGTCCCAGGTACTCGGGACTTAGGCAAGAGAATTGCCTAAACCTGGGAGTTGGAGGTTGCTGTGAGCAGTGTGATGCCACGGCACTCTACCGAGGTTGATAAAACGAGACTCTGTCTCTACAAAAAAAAAAAAAAAGTATCAAATACTTTGTGCATGAAAGAAAGCTGTCATTGGTTTGGTGCCTGTGGCTCAAGTGGCCAAGGTGCCAGCCACATACACCTGAGCTGGCAGGTTCAAATCCAACCCCTGGCCCGCTAAACAATGACAGCTGCAACCAAAAAATAGCTAGGTGTTGTGGTGGGTGCCCATGGTCCCAGCTACTTGGGAGGTAGAGACAGGAGACTCACTTGAGCCCAGGAGTTGGAGGTTACTGTGAGCTGTGATGTCACAGCACTACCCAGGGCGACAGCTTGAGGCTGTGTCTCAAAAAGAAAGAAAGAAAGAAAGCTGTCATCCTTGAATTCACTTAAATGACAGCTGAGGTTGTTGAAGCTATTACCCATATCACTGTCTACTACTCCATTAGTAGCTTTTCATTATATAATAGAAAGCAGGCTATAAATACCTCTCCAATCTGATGAAAAATTATTCTACCTACAGCTTGCTAATATCACCAGATGCAAGGTGCCAGTAAAATAGCTTACCTACTGTATTTTTCTGAACAATACTGATCATACCATTTCTCCCGTCTTGATCTCTGTCTACCCACAGCCTGGGCCTGTAGCTACCAAAAATGGTTTATAGCTCCTTGTTAATAATTCCTGCATTTCAGAGGCCTTCTGGGAAAAGCCCTCCAACCCCCTTTGTTCACCATTAGATGAACTCATGGTCTTGGGTAACTGGATTTGTTTCTGGGCACCATGATGGTTGCAGAAGCAAACTCAACAGTAATTATGCTGCAATCTGTTTCACTCACCAGCACAAAAACACTGCTGTCTTTTGAATTAACAGTGTATGTACATCTTTAATGCAGAGAAACACTATCTAAGGAGCAGATCAGAGAAAGCACAATCTGTTCAGTAATATTACTAATATGGGGAGGGCAGCAATAGCAGCCCAGAGAAGGGTAAGAATGGGCATTAGTGGCCAGTGATCTGGAAGGTCTGATAACCTCAGGGTAAAGGCACACTGGACCTTCTCTGGGGGCACATAATAATAGGTACTCCAAACACTATTCCTTCTGTCTTTAACATAGGTTTTCAGTTAGCCTGAAGTTACTTTGTTCTTTATGCTGTCTTTCATTATGGAAATTGCATCTGTAAGGTTGTCCTATGACTTTCTTCTTTTCAAAGATGGAAGAAACAATTCCACAAAACCTATGAAATTAAGATTGTTCAGCAGAGCCAGGCTCAGTGGCTCACACCTATAATCCTAGCACTCTGGGAGGCTCACCAGTTCAACACCAGCCTGAACAAAAAGCAAGACCCCATCTCTACTAAAAATAGAAAAAAATGAGGCAAAAGGATCACTTGAGCCCAAGAATTAGACATTGCTGTGAGCTATGATGCCATGACACTCTACCCAGGGCAATAGCTTGAGATTGTCTTAAAAAAAAAACTGCTCAAGCAATCCCTAATCTCTTCCACCTTTCGGGAGGGATGTGGCTAGGCACAACTTTCCACCTCTCACAACCTGGCAGGAGCTGCCTTCTAGAAGAGTGCTAACATGCAGACCAATGGTGGATGGAAGAGCAGAGGCTTTGGAATCAGATGACCTTTCAAGTTCATCTTAAAGCTAGAGGTCATCCTTTGAGCAGTTCCATTGCTAAGAATTTATCCTGTGGCTATTTCCACAACAAGGTACAAAGATACGTGAGTTGTGTATTCTCTAATTGCTGTTCACTGCTACATTGTTTGTAATAGCAAAAACCATGAAACAATTGTTAGCTATCAAGAGAGGACTGTTTACAGATTGTACAGTAGACCTCCAAGATATATTGGTAAGTAGGAAAAGTAAGTTATACTATTTGGATTTTTACCAAAGGCGTGTTTTACTTTGACTAGGAACATTCTTGGATCAGTGATGGTCCATTCATTCCAAGCAACTGATAGAAAACAACTTGGATTATTTATTGTAGTTGGGCTTTGTTTATAATCTTTGATTTATAAATCTTCATTTACTACCCCACCACACATATTTGTATTAATATTTTAATTCTT